TATTTCCTCAAAAGGATTTTAAAAGCAGAAACCAACCCTGCCCCCAAGTCTCTCTGTCCCAAACAGAAGCCAGCTCTATACAAATGCAGATGTAAACCATCAGGAAAGTTGGAGCTACAAGCTTAGGAAGACAAAGATACCTAAAATCTGCATACCCCACCCAAACTCTAGGAGTCATTAGCCCCAGCACCAGGGAAGCAGGATATTACCCTTGGGACATAATAGGATTAACCCACCACCAACAAGAATACCAGAAAGGCACACCCAGACTCAGGTCAGAATACGTGACACAGGAAATACAAAGCCTGAAATAGAAACAGAAAATCATTTCAAACAAAAGGCTTCAGTGGGTATAAAAACCTACTCCCCACATGTGCTCAGCCCTTTTTCTCTCCTCTCTCCTGCCAGAACCATCTTTCTGTCTGGCTTTTCAATAAACTGCAACCTTCTTTCTAAAGCAGTCGTTTGTTGTTTATCCCCAGCTTGGATAAATCATGATGAAGACTTTATTTATTTATTTATTTATTTATTTATGAGACTTATATACCGCTTTAAGTGCAAGCACTCTCTAAGCGGTGTACACCAGTAGGCAATGTATATATATATTTACATTGCCCCCAACAATCTGGGTCCTCATTTTACCTACCCCGGAAGGATGGAAGGCTGAGTCAACCTTGAGCCGGTGAGATTTGAACCGCTGACCTGCTGAACACAGTCAGCTAAAGTGGCCTGCAGTACTGCACTCTAACTGCTGCGCCACCTCGACTTTTCTTTCAACACTGGCAGAGTTTTAAAGGCAGGTATCCGGGAAACAGATCAAAGGCAGTTTCTGGCCTTGTCGCCGTCACAAAGTGAGGCAGGGGATGGACCACAAAGGGAATGGCAAAGGATAAAGAGCGGGGATGTAGAAGATGTGCTTTGTGAGATATACTTGCTGGGAAAGAGTTCTTGCAAGTTGCAGGACCTAAATTGTGGAGCACCTGTATTCTGTAAAGAACAAAAGGGCGATGAGGTTTATGTGCCTGCTCAAATGCCAACCTTGATTGATTGACCGAATTGCAGAGTGTACAGTGTGCTCAATCCACAAGATTCTGGACGATGTATTTAAACAACAATAGCTGGCAACAGTGGAGAATATCTGTAGCTCGGGGTTGCTGAGTGGAACATTTGTTAAATGAGTTTTGCCCCATTTTATGACCCTTTTTGCCACATTTGTTAAGTGAATCACTGCAGCTGTTAAGTCAGCAACTCGGTCGCTAAGTGAATCTGGCTTCCGCATTGACTTTCTTGTCGCAAAAGGGGATTTTTGGGAAACAGCGATGGTCATAGATATGAATCAGTGGCCAAGCATCTGAATTTTGATCACATGATCCTGGGGATGCGGCAAAGATTGGGATTGTGAAAAACGATCGTTAAGTCACATTTTTCAACGCCGTTGTAACTTTGAACGGTGACTGAACGAACTGTTGTAAGTTGGGGACTACCTGAATATGCAACTCGTGGTTTGAGAAAGGGTCCGCAGCCTTGATTAAGAGACTCGCACCCCTAGCCTGTTGCAGCCCTGCCGAAGATGTGAGTCTCACTCTGTTGCTCAATTCTAAGATGTGAAGTTTTCTCTGTATCTGAACCCCATTTCTAAAGGCACCCATGGACTTCATGAATAATAATTGAGCGGTTAATGTTCCCTACAAATCTCCAGTTTCGCCTTTTTTTAATTAATTCACAGTTCTCTGAAAGAAATATCTGTCAGGGAAGAAAGAACCATAGCAAATTGGTTTGCGCAATCATCTTCATTTTAGAAGAAAGCCTGTGGGAACACAGGGAGAGGTGGAGGGAAGGAGAGAAAAACAGGTTAAGAAATGCCACAGAGTGGCTTCGGGTCATGGAAAAAGAATCTCCTTTGCAAGAGGAAACCTAATTGTAACCCAGGCTTTTCCTTATCCGCTTCTCTTGGTCAATCGACTGGTTCAATCTAAGCCTCAGTGGTCTGTCTGTCTGTCTGTCTGTCTGTCTGTCTGTCTGTCTATCATCTATCTACCTACCTACCTACCTATCCATCTATTCATCCGTCATCTATCATCCACTTATCTATCCATCCATCCATCATCTATCTACCTATCTATCTATGTATCCATCTATCCATCACCTATCTATCCATTCATCTATCCATCCATCATCTATATCTATCTACCTATCTATCCATCCACCCAACTATCTATCTATCCATCCATCCATCCATCATCTAATCTATCTACCTATCAATTCACCCATCATCTATCATCTAATCTATCTATCTACCGATCTATCCATTCATTATCTATCTATCTATCTATCTATCTATCTATCTATGCATCCATCCATCTATCCATCATCTATCTATCCATCCATCCATCTATCCATCCATCATCTATATCTACCTATCCATCCATCCATCCATCCACCCACCCAACTATCTATCCATCCATCCATCATCTAATCTATCTACCTATCCATTCATCCATCATCTATCATCTATTCTATCTACCGATCTATCCATTCATCATTTATCCATCCATCCATCCATCCATCCATCCATCCATCCATCATCTATCATCTAATCTGTCTATCTATCTATCCATTCATCATCTATCATCTAATCTAATCCAGGGCTTTTCAACCTTTTTATCGATTGTACCACTTTTAGGATATGGCAATATTCGAGTACCACCTAGCAAGGTGTCAAAAACTTGATGACCAAAAAAAAAAAAACCTGTTCAAAGTTGCAGATGTGGAAAGAAGGTTGCCTGTAATATCCCTTCCCTGTTTCAATGCCGGGAGTCTCTAGAGTTTTGATTACGTACTGAAATGTGGTGGAGGTCTCTTTGTTGGATAATATTTAATAATTATTTCCCAGAATTGCAGCGTTCTTAAAAAGTACGCGGGCGCTGGGTCAATTATCTTTTGTTTTCGCGCAACATCAAAAGGACTGGGCGGTGCTTAACCTTAGTTTGATCTGCTTCTTTGCTGTTTGGGCCTTAAGTCATAGAGCAGAACTTGGAAGAGAGAAAGGGGAATGTATGAGTTATGAGCCCTTTCTGAAACTCAGTGCTTTGTTGTTGCTTTTTGTTGCTGTGATGGAAAGGGCAACCAAGCAGAATTCAGCAAACTGCTGGAACTCCCCAGAGAAAAGATGAGAGGAAAAATTCCCACGCATACAAATTGGGATGCAGGGAGCTATAAAATCAGCAATAAAATGAAAGCGGTAGCTGTTTTCCAGATGACTGGAGGGAATCACAGGTTACATTTCAAAGAGGAGTAAGAAGCAGAAAACGTAAAAGACCGCAACGGAACCCAAGACATACAGGTAGTCCTCGACTTACGACCGCAATGGAGCCCGCCCATCATGTATGGCGCGACAGTCGTAAACTGGGTCACCCATGTGACCGACCCGATTTAACAGCCATTTTTTTTGTGGTGGGTGTTAAGCGAACCAATGGCTCTCCGTGGACCGCTTCTGCCAAAATCCAGATGTAACTTCCTGATTTTGGTGAAACTGTTGTAAAACGGGAGGATGCTGCAAAAGGTCTTAAATGGAGGTTGTTTGCCAGGTGCCCAACGTGCAGTCATGTGACTACAGGAGAGCTGTGTCGGCCGTTAGAACTTTGAGACCAGGTCATAAGTAGCCCCGGGGAGGTCCGTCGTAACTTTGAGCAGTTGCTAAGCGACCGATTGTAAGTCAAGGACTACCTGCCGCCTCATCAAAGAGCCCTTCTTTTTAATATATGGAAACTGAACTATACATATATGAACTACAAACCCCTCACAACCTGAACATAAGCCTTTTCAGTTCCTCCCCTTGATACTCGTTACAGGGCACTGCACGACAAATCAAGTATGCACAGAGACAGTTGATTCCCTTGTGTCATCACTCTGCTAGGCACATAAATCCCGCAGGTGTTGTCTTATGTCTAAGGATATTTACCCATGTAGTAGGGCCATATTACTATTATCCTGCTTATCTGTTCCACTGTCTTCTCTTATTGATATAATTATTATGATTATTTTGATAGTATGATTATGATTATTTTTAATGTTTTGCATGAACACCAAGAGCTTATGAACAGAGACAAATTCCTTCACACTTGGCCAATAAACTATTCTCTCCTCTCCTCTCCTTTCTCCTCTCCTCTCCTCTATTCTATTTATTCTCATTCTATTCTATTTATTCTCATTCTATTCTATTCCTAATAATTCTTTATTCTATTCCTAATAATTCTTTATTCTATTCCTAATAATTCTCTGTTCTATTCTATTCTATTCTATTCTATTTTAATTATTCTCATTCTATTCTATTCCTAATAATTCTTTATTCTATTCCTAATAATTCTTTATTCTATTCCTAATAATTCTCTGTTCTGTTCTGTTCTGTTCTGTTCTATTTTATTCTAATTATTCTCATTCTATTCTATTCCTAATGATTATTCTATTCTATTCTATTCTATTCTATTCTATTCTATTCTATTCTATTCTATTCTATTCTATTCTACTCTACTCTACTCTACTCTACTCTACTCTACTCTACTCTACTCTTTCTATTCTATTCCTGTTCTTCATTTTCCTTCAGGTTACTTTAGTTCGGTGCACAAGTGCCAAGCTGACATCTGCTCTCTGGCTTTGCATCCTGAAGGTTAATTCGTGCATCATGCAAATTGCCACAGAAGCAGCAGATGGAATCCTTGTTCTCATTTTCTAAGTGCTATGGATACTTCACATTACGGTTTCAAAGGCAGCGAAATATTTCCTAAAAGGGAAGCTTCCCAAACGAAAGGAGATTCCTGGAAAAGCCTGGCCAGTTTTGCTAGACAGCTGTCCTAAAGATGCTGGCTTCTCTGTGAATCGTAACTTCTCAATCAGCCAGCCTTAACGGCCTCTACGCCTAATTATAGTCTTTAAGGAGACACTAAGGGAAAATGATTTGGCAGATGGGCAGCCCGCTTCTCATTCTTCCTGCAGTGAACATTTGGTACTGGACCTGAAAATGTTTAGGTAGAAGTGTAGAACTTTAAGTCCAGAGGGAAGCAAGAAAATTATTCAGCACAGAATTGCAGAAGTCCCAACTACATGCAAGTCACCTGCTTTTTCTTACAGGTAATTCTTGACAGTAGAGCAGAGTAGAGTAGAGTAGAGTAGAGTAGAGTAGAGTAGAGTAGAGTAGAAAAGGAATAGAATAGAATGGAATGGAACAGAACAGAACAGAACAGAATAGAAATAAGAGTTATTAGGAATAGAATAGAATAGAATAGAATAGAATAGAATAGAATAGAATAGAATAGAATAGAATAGAATAGAATTAAGAGTTATTAGGAATAGAATAGAATAGAATAGAATAGAATAGAATAGAATAGAATAGAATAGAATAGAATAGAATAGAATCTTAGAGGTCTTCTAGTCCAACCCCTTGCTCAGGCAGGAATCCCTACATCAGAAGCAACGGATGGAAACTAACCAAGGAGAGAAGCAACCTAGAACTAAGGAGAAACTTCCTAACAGCCAGAACAATTAACCAGTGGAACAACCTGCCTCCAGAAGTGGTGAATGCTCCAACACTGGAAGTTTTTAAGAAGAGATTGGACAGCCATTTGTCCGAAATGGTATAGGGTTTCTTGCCTGAGCAGGGGGTTGAACTAGATGACCTTCAAGGTCCCTTCCAACTTTATTATTATTATTGCTGTTGTTGTTATTGTTACTATTATTATTATTATATAAATGGCTGTCCAGTCTCTTCTTAAAAACCTCCAGTGTTTACTAAAATTATTATTAAAAAAAGGAATTGACAAACATGGGACAGTATCGTGCACAATATGAAAAATGAGCAAATCTGAACTTGATTTGACAAGAGCTTTCACTGTTTTCTGATCTGTTTTCTGTCTCCTGTTGTGTGCAGGTATAAACCTCGGCTTCTTTATCTTTCCCCCCCTCTCCCCTCAGCCCAAACGCATCTGAAATTCCTAGGATGCCAGAAGCCTTCAGTGAAAATGAGTTATGTCTGCTCAAGCTCTTGCAAGCTTTTGCAAACTCAAGCCAAAAGAATTTGGGTCAGCCCAGCGAAAGGCCAGGGTGAGTCCACTGTTCAAATGCAAGGAGACCAAATCTAATCTTTTAGCAAGGCTGATAAAGCGGCTGGCGCTAAACGAAATGATGAACGGTGGGGTCCCTAACACCTACCCCGCCCACACTCTCTTTTTCTCTTGGCTGGTTTTTAGTAGCACTGGATAGCTTTGGAATAATTTTAAAGAGGCTAGCACTGACTTGATCTGGGCTTTCAAAAAGGTTCTTTCCTTTAATGGAAATCAGTTTGGTACTAATTAACTTTTTTTCCCACATCTAAATTAACTAATTAATTTTCTTTTCATCCCCTCAGGATGAAAAGAATGCTACAGGGCATTGCATGCCAAAACAAAGGAGACCCAGAGAAAGTTTTTATCCTTGTGTCATCACTCTACTGAACAGTATATTAACCCATGTAGTATGGTTGTATTACTTTTATCCGTCTCACTTGTTCCACTACCTTCTCTTATTGGTATCATTATTATTGTTTTGATATTATGATTATTACTGATATCATTACTATGATTATTATTGTTTTGATATTATGATTATTATTGATATCATTATTATGATTATTATTGTTTTGATATTATGATTATTATTACTTTGTTGTTTTGCATGTGCACTCAGAGCTTATGCACCAGAGATAAATTCCTTGTGTGCCTTTAACACTTGGCTAATAAAGTATTGTATTAATTCTATATTCTATTCTCTCTTCTCTTCTTCTCTTCTGTTCTACCCTGCCTTGCCCTATTCTATTCTATTCTATTCTATTCTATTCTATTCTATTCTATTCTATTCTATTCTATTCTATTCCATTCCATTCCATTCCATCCTATCCTATCCTATCCTATAGAGAATTTAGGGCAAGGTACAGGTGAGATAGGCTGGTTTTATTAACCACTTTATGTCAAGCCAGATATAGAAGCCCCAACATTGTGCTAAGAATTTAATAAGGAAGCATGTGGACTTTTACATTATCTTTTCTTGCAATTTCATTCATTGTTATTCAACCTCTCTTTTACCCTATGTTTCTGTTCAGAGATGGGTAGAGTTCAGATTACCTAACACAGGTATTTCTTACCTGTGCACTGGAGAGGACCCGGGAAAAACCCTTTCCCGCATGACGTCACGCATTGGGCATCCTTCAAATGCAGCAAAGCTTGGCATGAAGTACATCCAAATTTATTAGTACAAGTCGAGCACATCTCTTTACAAGCTGCCCGAGGCAGGGAAGGAAATAAAAAACAGACAAAAAGAAGATTGTAAAGAACTGAGTTGGATTTGATTTTCTCGGAGTCAGATCTTTGGGATTCATGACGCAACTTCGCAGTTACTGATCAGGGATTTCAAACAACCCCCAGGTATTAGCAATGGTTAAAAAAAAAAAGATAATTTATTGCTGACAACCCAAGTGTATATTGAAGATTGGTACAGTACACTGGTCTATGACTGCAATAAACATTGATTTAACTCAGTGTTTCTCAACCTTGACAATTTTAAGGCATGTGGACTTCAACTCCCAGAATTCCACAGCCAGCAATGCTGGCTGTGGAATTCTGGGAGTTGAAGTCCACATGCCTTAAAATTGTCAAGGTTGAGAAACACTGATTTAACTGAAGTTAGACAATCAGTTACTGTTGCCATTCTATCAAGCTTTCGTGAGGATTCGTCTTCCTGATTATGCTGTTTGTTTTAAATATTTTATTCTGGGCTTTAATATTCTCCATGTATTGCTAAGTTTATTGTTTTGCACTGTCTTGGGGAACTCCGTTAGAGGAGAAAGAGAGCAATAAAAGGGCATTTTAGAAAGACACAAATCTTCAGAATAATCTTATCGACTTTAACACTCAGAAGCCATGGGCATTTTTTGAAATGTCTGAGCATCATCTACAAAACAAAAAAGCTTCAATATCGCACAGCAAGATGGAGGATAATCTTACCTACGCAAAGGCCAGCATCTGGATAGAAGCCGGCCCCACAGCTGTCAACGCAACGCCCCTTCAGTAGAAACTTGGTGGCATCTCGGCAGGCATCACAGTGATCAAATGCCTGGTTGCAGGTCAAGCAATCAGGATGGCAGTGACCTGTCATGAAAACGAGACAACTTTATTTGCAGTGAGGAAGTGCAGGGTGGGCTCACCTGCTCAGGTAGAAGGATGCTTCTGCTACATGATAAAAAAACAAAAAACAAAAAACAAGCAAGCCTCTTCTCTACCAGGTCAGAGCCCGGTTGAAATTTATGATGATTGTATTATGATTATGATCATGATTTATCACTTGTTGCTTGTTTGTACACTGAGAGCCTCTGCACCAGAGACAAATTCCTTCTGTGTCCAATCACACTTGGTCAATAATGAATTCTATTCTATTCTATTCTATTCTATTCTATTCTATTCTATTCTAGTCTAGTCTAGTCTAGTCTAGTCTAGTCTAGTCCAGTCCAGTCTGTTCTGTTCTGTTCTGTTCTACTCTATTCTATTGTTTTGTTCCGTTCTGTTGTTAAACTTGTACTTACACAATCCACAGATATATAGTTAGAGGTTCTTGAGCAGGGGTCTTCAAACTCGGCCCTTTTATGACTCATGGATTTCAACTCCCAGAATTCCTCAGCCAGCGTGCCTGGCTGAGGAATTCTGGGAGTTGAAGTCCGTAAGTTGTAAAAGGGCCGAGTTTGAAGACCCCTGTCCTTGAGCATACTGTCCCTTAGAAGGGGCTGAGTACAAGCAGTCCATGTCTTAAGCAGGTTTTCTGTAGAGTACCGTGAAAAGTAAGACTGGACTGGAGAGTTCTCAAATTAAGGTTACCTCTGCTCAGAACATACCTGTAGCAGGTAAGCTGATTTGATCTACAGCTTCCAGCTGCAATCAACTACCAGAATTACTGTAAGGCTTACTTCCAGAACCAATAAAGGAGAATATTTGTAGCTCAGGGGTTGAAATGAGGGGTCTTTGGTGCTCTCTGAACTTGCTTGTTTTCTTGCAGACGTTTCATTACCCAAACTAGGTAACATCATCAGTGCTAGTCCTAGCAATACACTGATGATGCTACTTAGTTTGGGTAACACAACATCTGCAAGAAAACAAGCAAGCTCAGAGAGCACCAAGGACCCGCTACTTATAGAAACAATATAGCAAACAAAGTCTCAGGCCCAAGCCCCAGTGATAACACAGGGAGATCCACTCAAATCCAGTTCTGCATTCGCTTACACTTAATAGACAGAATCTTGCCAGGCTAAAGTTATAACCTTCCAAACTAACAGACGTACCCTATTTCAGCGTGTGGTTACTCTGAACCTTTTTCTCACCCCACCACCCAATTCAGGACTGCCCCTTGTCTTGGACCCCTCTCTGGAATTAAGGAGAAACTCCCTGACACTGAGGACAATCAACCAGTGGAGCAGCTTACCCCCAGAAATCGTGGGCACTCCATCAGCAGAGATTTTTAAGAAGAGACTAGACCAGTGGTTCTCAACCTTTTTATACGGCGCCCCCGGTCATAAGCAGGCGGCGCGCATGCGCGGCGCTACCCCCTGCGCGGCACGCATGCGTGGTGGCGCCCCCTGCGCAGCGCGCATGCACGGCGGCGCCCCCTGCACGGCACGCAAGCGCAGCGCTGCCTCCTGCACCGCCCCCTGCGCGGCGCGCATGCGCAGCGTCGCCCCCTGCGCAGCGTGCATGCGCAGTGGCGCCCCCATGTGCCACCCCTGCGCGGCGCGCATGCGCGGCGCACCCCCTGCGCTGGCTGACAAAAAAAATGGTGGATCACGTTGTTTGGCGACCCCCGTGAAATGGTCGTTCGACCCCAAATGGGGTCGCGACCCACAGGTTGAGAATTGCTGGACTAGACATTCACCTGTCTGAGATGGTGTAGGTTTTCCTGCTTGAGCAGGGAGCTGGACTAGAAGACCTCCAAGGTCCCTTCCAGCTCTATTCTACATGCTACCTTCCCCCTGGGAAGCCACGACGCCTCTGTCAATATCCCCCCCTTTCTCCTTCATCTTTCCATTCCATCCCAAGAAGTGGAGTATATCTCCTTGAAGTCAAGCTTGAGCTCTGGGATCCTCATGGATACGTCTCTTTAATTTTCTTGGCTGGGGAATTCTGGGAGTTGAAGTCCACAGATCTTACAGTTGTAAGGTGGGACACCCGTGCTTTAAACCAAATGCTTTTAAACGTAAAGACCCTCTTCTGAGTTAAGAGAATAAACAAGTTAAGACTAGACATCTGAAGAGCAAACCATTGTTTTGCAAATACCTGGCTTGCATTGAGGGCAACACTCTCCTTGTACGGCAACAGGCACACTTCCTGGGGCACAAGTTGGACAAGACCGAGAATAGCAGATTACTTTAGAGTCCAAACACTCGCATTCACGGCACAGGCCTTCTTTCCATTTTTCACCACTCTGCATGAGAAAACAATAAAGGTTGGGATATATTTCACAGTTTTCCAATCCAATTAACTATTATTCAGCCTTCTGAGCAGCAAGAAGCAGCGTAGAGCTTCACTTTTTCATTTTCTTGTTTTTTTTTAAAGTTCCTCACAACCACCCAGCAAAGATCATGCTGAGAAATGACAGCAGGCCCAACGTCCTGGCTGATTTTGGATCTGAAATTACACATTTCACCAATCTATATCAGAAATTTGTATGCTGTTGCTTTTACAGATGGGTGCGTCTGTACTTGCACACACAGGCACACGCACGCATAAGCATACTTTGTTCTTTATTATGAAGTTTGACGGATAAACTATTTAAATAACTATTTTAAACAAAAAAGCCCTATTCGTTGAAGCCACCACACTACATTTGCTCTCTGTTTAGAGTTCTCTTTCAACAGTTGAACTGCAATGAGTAAACACATTTATAATACCCACTTGCAGAAGGCCAGGAGTACTTCTGAAAGCCGTTGAAACAGTAATTACGGGGCTTTTGGTTGGAGAGATAGTTGTGCAACTGATTACATACCTTAATGGGAGTAAGTTTCACTGAGCTAAGTGGGGCTTAAGCAGAGATAAATAACTGTAAACTCAGGCTGGCGATGCCTCAGAAAACACGAAACTCCCAACAACCTTCTCCTTTGGGAAGGACATTAAATCATACGAACACAAAAATTTGGCCAGCCAACATCCCAAAGATGCTTTTTCAGGAGGCAACTGGACTTTCTTGTTTTTCTTTGAAGACATTTTATTTCTCATCCAAGAAGCTTCTTCAGCTCTGACTGGATGGTGGGAAATGGAAGGGTTTATGGTCATTTGCATTCTTTTAGAGAGTCGTTCCATAAGAAAGGCTGAGCGCCAAAGAATTGAGGCCTTTGAACTATGGTGTTGGAGAAGACTCCTGTGAGTCCCCTGGACTGCAAGGCGATCCAACTGGTCAGTCCTAGAGGAGATCAACCCCGACTGCTCTTTAGAAGGCCAGATCCTGAAGTGGAAACTCAAGTATTTTGGCCACCTAATGAGAAGGAAGAACTCCCTGGAGAAGAGCCTGATGCTGGGAAAGATTGAGGGCAATAGAAGAAGGAGACGACAGAGAATGAGGTGGAACTGCCGAAACAATTGTGCTGTAGACTGGAGATAGATGGTGTCATATTCCCCCCCACCCCACCCTCTGTTGAGAGAGGACTGTTCAATTTTGACCCCTCTTCCAAACCAGCGGTCCTCTCTGTCCAAAATGTGGACTTTGCTGTCTTCGAAAGAGTGGCCGTTGGCTTCTAAAAGCAGATGGACTGCTGAATCTAGTCCTGATGGGTTTGTTCTCCTATGTTTCGCTTTCTTTGAAGCAAAACGTCTTCAAAGAAAAACAAGAAAGTCCAGTTGCCTCCTGAAAAAGCATCTTTGGGACAACTAAGACCTGGATGGCTGAGAATCTCCACAGACATTTTGCCCTCCAACCAGCCAGGATGTAACCCAGCATTAGTATATCAAGGCTAGGAAATAGCACTCTTAGCTTCTGTTCCAAAGGGAGGAAATTAGAGGCCGTCCTCGACTTACAGCCATTCGTTTAGTGACTATTTGAAGTTACACCAGCACTGACAAGAATTACGACCAGTTCTAATAGTTATGACCGCCATATTATCTCCACGGTTATGGGATTAAAATTTGGGCATTCGGCAACCCAAGTATGTATTTACAATGGCCCAGGATCCCAGGGTCCTGGGATCACTTTTTTTGACGTTCTCAGCCAGCTTCTGGCAAGCACAATCAATGGGGGAAACTGGATTTGCTTAATGACCGTGTGATTTACTTAACAACTACAGTGGTTGGCTTAACAACCGGGGCCAAAAAGTCATAAAACTGAGCACAACTCAACCGCCTTGTTTAACAATGGAAATTCTGATCCCAGGACTAACCATATACTCAACCTGCAGGCAAGTAACCTTATTTAACCAAAGCATTTCTATCACAATAGCTCCACATTTTACACCCAAAAACAATCTCTCCCAACTACTAAGTGGTCTTTTGCTGAACGCAGAAGAATGAGCCAAACAGGCCAGAAGAGGCAATCTCTGTTTTCTCAAGTTAATGGATAAGGGTCTCCTTTCTTGAAATAGATCGATTTCACGGTTTCTTCCTCTAGAACAGGGGTAGGCAACCTTGGCTCTTTTATGACTCGTGGACTTCAACTCCCAGAATTTCTGAGCCAGCATGGCTCAGCTTGGAAACTCTCCCTTTCCCCTCAGCCTGGCTGGCTCAGGAATTCTGGGAGTTGAAGTCCACGAGTCATAAAAGAGCCAAGGTTACCTATCTCTGGCCTGGGCCTAGGCCGCTTTATGACTCGTGGACTTCAACTCCCAGAATTCCTGAGGCAGAATGGCTCAGCTTGGAAACTCTCCCTTTCCCCTCAGCCTGGCTGGCTCAGGAATTCTGGGAGTTGAAATCCACGAGTCATAAAAGAGCCAAGGTTGCCTACCCCTGCTCTAGAAGTTACTGCCTGATCCGATCCGAAGGAATGAAGATGGATGGGAAGCCATCTACATTCAGTAGACCCCTGACTGAAGGAGGACAAAGCAGGAGCAGAGATGAGACAAGTGGCCTCTTTCATGAGGCCTGAAAGAATTCCTCTAAGGCAGTGTTTCCCAAACTTGACAATTTTAAGGCATGAGGACTTCAACTCCCAGAATTCCACAGCCAGCAATGCTGGCTGTGGAATTCTGGGAGTTGAAGTCCCCATGCCTTAAAATTGTCAAGTTTGGGAAACACTGCTCTAAGGCAGGGGTAGGCAACCTGGGCTCTTTTATGATTCGTGGACTTCAACTCCCAGAATTCCTGAGCCAGCATGGCTCAGCTTGGAAACCTCTCCCTTTCCCCTCAGCATGGTTGGCTCAGGAATTCTGGGAGTTGAAGTCCATGAGTTAGAAAAGAGCCAAGGTTGCCTACCCCTCCTCTAAGAACAGGTAAAAGGTTTCCCCTGTCCATCATGTCCAACTCCGGTGGGGGGCAGGGCTCATCTCCGTTTCTTAGCTGAGGGAACCAGTGTGGTCCAAAGATCTTTCAGTGGCCACGTGGCCAGCATGGCGATGTGCTGAAATGGATGGAACATTGCTACCGTCCCACTGAAGTGGTACCTATTTATCTACTCGCATTTGCAGGGCTTTCGAACTGCAGAAGCTGAGGCAAGAACACGAGCTCAACCGACTGCAACCCGGGCTGTCAGCTTCCCAGCTGACAAGCTCAGGGTCTTTAACCGCTGAGCCGTCACAGACCCATTCAAGAACACGACACAATTGTTCTCAGCACTGACAAGCTAACGTCCTTTTGCCTAATGTGAGGTTTGAACTACCGCAAGGAAAATGCTGTATTTCCAGAGTGTCTCCATCCATTAAGCTTCTCCTGTTCCCAAGCTCAACCCAAGGACCTCAAGAGAGCAATTTTATAGCTGTGGAACCTCTTTGAAAGGCAAGGTCACGGCTATCTACAAAGAATGGCAGCATGCACAACACAACGTGTCAGGACTTGGACAGATTACGATGGCAAGCCCTGGCTACTAGAAACACACACACACAAAAAAAAACCCGTTGTCTCAGCAACACTCAGAAATTTTTGTAAGAGCTTCTGGAGCAGAGGTCCCCAACCTTTTGGGCACCAGGGACCGGTTCTGTGGAGAAAGGTTTTCAACGGACTGGAGAGTGCGTGGTTTTGTGTGTTGCCTGCATCCCATAGATGCTGCTTTGCTTGTTTGTACGGACCGGTTGCTGGCATGCCACGGCCCAGTACCGGTCCACAAGCTGGGGGTTGGGGACCCCTGTTCTAGAGAACTCATTCTATCTCCTAAAGGACAATCAGCCAATGATTGACAGCTACTGATGTGGGGGCTAACTACATGGGAAGAAACAACAGAAAAGAATATTTGTATCTCAGGGTTGAACTGTGGGGTCCTTGGTGCTGTCTGAGCTTGGTTGTTTCCATGCAGATGTTTCATTACCAAACTAGGTAACATCATCAGTGCTAGGATGAAGTTGTTGTCAAATCTATGCAACTTAAAGAGCCACATACTTTGGCCAGGGCAGTCTTGGAACGATGAGCATCAACACGCCATTCAGCTTTCTTTGGCTGTACTCACCCAAAACGCTTAGCTTAAATTGATCTATTTTTCAATGCAGACCTAGGCTGCACCAACAGAGGGATACTATCAAGGTCATGTGAAGTTTTAGTACCACTTTATACTGCAATGCTAAGACCACACTTGGAATACTATATACAGTTTTGGTCACCCCAATATAAAAAAGATAGTGAGACTCTAAAATAGGCATGTCAAACTGCCGGCCCACAGGCTGGATGCATCATATTAAAACCGCGCCCACCCCATTGCTGGCAATGGGGAAAAAGTCACGATACGCCGCGTGACGTCACGTGACATTGCGAGTTTGACATGCCTGCTCTAGAAAGAGTGCAGAGAAGAGCAATAATGAGGATTAAGGGACGGGAGGCTAAAACACACAACGAATAGTGGCAGGACCTGGGTATGTCTAGTCCAGTGGTTCTCAACCTTTTTAATGCTTCGACCCCAACCGGTCGTAAGTCAAGGACTACCCAACCGGTCGTAAGTCAAGGACTACCCAACTGGTCATAAGTCGAGGACTTTCCCTGCCCGGGAGCGCCGCGCATGCGTGGTGCCGCCCCCTGCGCCAGCTGAGGCGTAGCTGGCAAGCGGCAGAGACGGCGCAGGCCGACCACCGGCTGGCCCACCAGCTGGCCCAGCCCAAGGGAGGTAAAGCACCCGCCGGGCCCCACGCGCGCCAGCAACCCTCCCTGCGCCCTCCGGCCTCCCACCTCCCACCCCTGGCCCTCTTTTACTTACATTTAGTAGTTGCTCAGCAAGGAGGGGTGGAAACCTCTAGAGCAGTGTTTCTCAACCTTGACAATTTTAAGGCATGTGGACTTCAACTCCCAGAATTCCACAGCCAGCATTGCTGGCTGTGGAATTCTGGGAGTTGAAGTCCACATGCCTTAAAATTGTCAAGGTTGAGAAACACTGCTCTAGACAGCTCGCCTTCGCTGCAGACAACTTGCAGCACCGTTTGCAGAATGGGACTTTTGGCAGACTCAGCAGGGCAGAGACAGCCTGGACAATTCCTATTGGCTTTTGAAAGCCAATAGAATTAGACTCTATTCAAGAGAGTCTATTCTATTGGCTTTCAAAAGCCAATAGAATAAAAGGGAGTAGCACAGCCAAGGAAAAGGGGGAAAAAATGGCGGATTGCGTTGTTTGGCAACCCCCGTGAAACGGTCTTTCGACACCAAATAGGGTCCCGATCCACAGGTTGAGAACCACTGGTCTAGTCTAACTAAGAGAAGAACTAGGGGAGACATGACAGCAGTCTTTCAATATTTGAGGGACTGTCACAGGGAAGACTGGGAAAAATGGCTTGCTTTTAGAAATTGGGGGTGCTCCACCACTGGAGGATTTTAAGAAGAGATTGGACAGCCATTTGTCCAGAATGATATTGGGTTTCCTGCCTGAGCAGGGGGTTGGACTAGAAGACCTCCAAGGTTCCTTCCAACTGTGTTATTCTGCAATCTATTTTTCACAGCACTTGAACCACGAACTAATTAAATAGGTTGGATTTCCACAATACACTAAGCCACAGCAAATGTAAGCATGGTTAATCTGAAACAAACTGAGCCTCTTTATGTGAAGGCAACTGCCAAATCCTTCATAGACCTGGTTACCTACAGGCAGTCCTCTATTTACAACCACTACGGAGTCCAAATTTTCTGTTGCAAAGTGAGACATTTGTTAAGTGAGGTTACCCCATTTTAGGACTTTTCTTGCCACAGTTCTTAGGTTAGTAACATGGTTGTTAAGTGAATCTGGCTTCCCCCATTGACTTTGCTCGTCAGAAGGTCGCAAAATGAGATCACATGACCCCAGAATACTGCAACCATCGTAAGTACGAGTCAGTTGCCAAGCGTCTGAATTTTGATCATCTGACTATAGGGACGTGGCAAAGGTCCTAAGTGTGAGAAAATGGTCATAAGCTTTTTTTCCCCAACTCCATTGGAGTTGGGCAGGTAATAAATTTAGATAAATAAAACATTGAAATTTTCAAGTATCTTGTTGGGGGAAAAAAGCTTGCTATATATCCCAGTAAAGATGCAGCTTCTCTTAAATAAAGCTCAGGTCCTTGTGATTATATGAATATCTCTCTAGTTTCTTTTAAAACTTTATGGGAGCGGATTGTCACTTCTTCCAAAATGTACCTCAATTTCTTGGTCTAGTTAACTAACCTCTATTTCACTGAGCCTATAATTCGGGGAGCATTTAAAGAGTAATTAATAGCACAGCTGCATTTCAGACCTCAAGATTCTTCAAAAAAAGGAGGTTCCTCATGATGCTACTTGCATTCTCCATTTATACAGGCTGGAGGTCTGCAAATCATGGTTTGATTAATCATAGTTATATTGAGTGAAGTAACCTTTGTAACTTCGAACGTGCCACTAAACCAACTGTTGCAAGTTGAGGACTATCTGTATGCTGTGTGCACGCAGCTTGGGAGTTCTTTTTTGCATCACCACGTGAACCAAGAACACAGAACAAGGCCCAATCAAGTTAGGAAATTCAATATTTTCAGCCCACTCAATCTGCATCATTTACACTTCAAGGATATTTTCTTGTTCTGGGCTCTGCATAAAAAGCACTGAAAGCGAAACTCAGCAGAATACAGGGTTGCAGAGAGCAGATTTCACAGAATGAAACTAGCCACCTTTGTAGATTTGTCGGTTTGCCCCTCCCAGGCCAGTAAGACCCGCAGTTAAAATTATTTACTTGCTCTCCTGGAGAAGCAGAAGTTGCCTGCTTCATGCTGCTAGCACAGGATTTGTAAAATAGCACCGCATCACAAAACGGCAACGTCTGTGCTCTCCAAAAAGAGAGTTCATACTTAGGAATGAAACTGGCTTAGCCCTACAATTACATTGGTCTGCAAATCTCCAGATTGTAAAAACATACATCCAAGTGACAGATAGCTAAGTTGCCGTCACCTGTTAAGGTTGAAAAGGAAACGCAGGCGGGAATGTTATAATTTAGACAAAATTGATTCTCCGTGTATGTGTATTTGTATCGATTGCACTGTTCGTAGGCACTCAGTTGTACGAATGCAGCTGCTACCATCATTATTCATCGGTTCCAAATTATTATAAGGTAGCAAATTAATTGAGATAGAGAAGTCCTGCAAAAGATTATTGAGCAGCATAAGCCCACTCAATCAAACCAGCAATTGAGAGAAAACTTTTCAAATCTCTCTTTAAGACCTCTGCCTGTGCCTTGCAGAAGATTAAATACAGCTAGTCCTTGAATTACAGTCATTTGTTTAGTGTCTGTTCAAAATTACGAAGACAGTGAAAAAAAGTGACTGTTTTTCACACTTACGACCGTTACAGCATCCCCATGGTCTACATCAGTGGTTCTCAACCTTTTTAATGCCACGGCCCCCAACCGGTCGTAAGTCGAGGACTACTCAACCGGTCATAAGTCGAGGACTACTCAACTGGTGCAGCACCGTTTGCAGAATGGGACTTTTGGCGGGCTCAGCAGGGCAGAGACAGCCTGGACAATTCCTATTGGCTTTTGAAAGCCAATAGAATTAGACTCTATTCAAGAGAGTCTATTCTATTGGCTTTCAAAAACCAATAGAATAAAAGGGAGTAGCACAGCTAAGGAAAAGGGGGAAAAAATGGCGGACTGCGTTGTTTGGCGACCCCCCGTGAAATGGTCATTCGACCCCAAATGGGGTCCCGACCCACAGGTTGAGAACCACTGAGATAGATGATCAAAATTTGGACACTTGGCAACCGGTTCATATGTACGACGGTTGCAGCATCCCGGGGTCACGTGATCCCCTTTTGCGACCTTCTGACAAGCAAAGTCAATGGGGAAAGCCAGATTCACTTAACAACTGTGTTACTCACTTAGCAGCTGCAGTGATTCACTTAACAACTGTGGCAAGAAAGGTCGTAAAATGGGGCAAAACTCACTTAGCTGCTGTCTTGCTTAGCAAGGGAAATTTTGGGCTCAATTGTGGTTGTAGGTTGAGGACTACCTATAGATAGTCAGTCAGGTGGGATACTCCGGGTTTGGACAGGAAGATGTAATAAATGACCATGGGATATCCTGTGAGTCCCCTGGACTGCAAGGCGATCAAACCGGTCAGTCCTAGAGGAGATCAACTCTGACTGCTCTTTAGAAGGCCAGATCCTGAAGTTGAAACTCAAGTACTTTGGCCACCTAATGAGAAGGAAGGACTCACTGGAGAAGGGCCTAATGCTGGGAAAGATTGAGGGCAAGAGAAGAAGAGGACTACAAAGAATGAGGTGGAACTGCTGAAAGAACTGTGTTGTAGACTGGAGATAGATGGTGTTGTATTCCCCCCCCCCACCCTCTGTTGAGAGAGGACTGTTCAGTTTTGACCTCTCTTTCAAACCTCACATTCTCAAACCAGAGAATGAGGTGGCTGGATGGAGTCACTGAAGCAGTAGGCATGAGCTTAAATGGACTCCAGAAGATGGTAGAGGACAGGAAGGCCTGGAGGAACATTGTCCACGGGGTCACGATGGGTCAGACACGGCTTCGCAACTAACAACAACATTAATATTCCTTAATCCAATGTTTCAAGATATATTAACATTTCCACAATACTCAGCCTGAAATTTTCTTTGGACTTGCTGACTGGAGCTGATAAAAGTAAAAAATCTTTGAAGGTTGAGGAGTTGCCTACTTGTGCACAAACTACAACCTTGTAGTAAAAATGTCTACATTTGCAAGATGTCAGTGTCCACTGATCAACATGTACTTCATGCTTCCATGTTACTGAGTATTTTTCTAGCCAACATCTACCTTGGCAACTCTTACGTGTGTTAAATCCGCAAGCTACTTACATCTTTGGTATCTTCTCTGTAAACACAGGAACCCCCTCTTGAGATGCATTCAGGGCAGCACTTGCCTTGTAAATGAAATAATTCTTCGCCCTGTAGAGAAATTGAGCATTACAACGAGATACCTAGAATCAGCTTTTTCTTTTTCTTTTTTAAATGATACTGAGAGAAGAAATGGGGAAGCTGGTCCATTTTTTTTCCTGGAACACAGCTTTTAAAAGCCTGTTTTATCAGCCTCCTTCCATCACTAAGTTCCCTTCCAAAAAGATAAGTATCATCCTGGCTGTATAAAGGCTGCACACTCAAACTCTCCTTGAAATGCCACCAGGTCAACTCATGGGAGAAAGTGCAAAATCCAGTTTCATAAATTGAATTGTATCTGCTGGACGCTGTGGTTTGCTTCTCTGCCTCTTTTGCACAGGACAATATCTTTCCATGAAATACTGTAGGGCAGAGGTCCCCAATCTTTTGGGCACCAGGGACCAGTTCCGTGGAGAGAGTTTTTCCGTGGACTGGAGGGGCCGTGGTTTTGTGTGCGGACTGGTTGCTGCATGCCGCAGCCCAGTACTGGCCCACGGACCAGGGGTTGGGGACCCCTGCTGTAGGGTGCTAAACTGACAGCATCTAATCTTTGATTCGCACAACCTCACCATGAACCTTCCATAAAGGTACGAGATCTGCTTCCAGCATGTACATCTGGCATGGATCTGATAAGCATCCGGGTCTAATTAGAAGGAACAGTAACCTCCACAGCAATTATTTTTTAATTTTTTTTTAAATGTCTGTACCTCTCACTTCTCTGACTGTGCTATGCAGTTTGGAAGTTATACTATACAGTCTGAGTTAGGGACTTTAGTCTTAGCCTTACATGATTTCATTTTGCCACACACGTCTTCATAGATTAACTAGTTTCTAAGATTTCCCCAATTCCTCATCTTACACAATTCAGACTTCCGCAAAGGGTTAGGACAGGGGTAGGCAACCTTGGCTCTTTTATGACTCGTGGATTTCAACTCCCAGAATTCTAGAGCAGCTTGGCTGGCTCAGGAATTCTGGAAGTCCACAAGTTATAAAAGAGCCAAGGTTGCCTACCCCTGGGTTAGGACAAGAGAACAGAACACAATAATAGAGTTGGAAGGGTCCTTGGAGGTCATCCAGTCCAACTCCTGCTCAAGCAGGAGACCCTATATCATTTCTGACAAGTCATTGTTCAGTCTCTTCTTAAAAGCTTCCAGTGATGGAGCACCCAAAACTTCGGAAGGCAAGTCATTCCGTTTGCTGATTGCTTTCACTGTCAGGAAATTTCTCCTTAGCTCTAGGTTGCTTCTCTCCTTGATGAGTTTCCATCCATTGCTTCTTGTCTGCCTTTGAGTGCTTTGGAAGACAGATTGACCCCCTCTTCTTTGTGGCAGCCCCTCAGATATTAGAACACGGCTATCATGTCACCTCAATCCTTCTTTTCACTAGACTAGCCATGCCCGGTTCCTGTAACCGTTCTTCATATGTTTTAGCCTCCAGTCCCCTAATCATCTTTGTTGCTCTTCTTAGCCCACTTTCCAAAGTCTCAACATCTTTTTTTTTTATAATGGAGTGATCAAAACTGGATACAGGCTATAAGAATTGGTTCATCTCAATGGAAAGGCCTAGAAAAAAATGCTACAGGAGCCGATTCCTTTACCTGGACAGTCCCTGGATCTCCCGATTCCCTTAAATGCATTGCAGGTCTCCAATTTGACCTTCCTGTACTGATTTCATTGCTCAAGTCAAAAAGAGCTCCTGATCTCTCTTGCTGCATGAAAGGGTCACAATCTCTCTTGAAAGAGAACAATGTCGAAACTCTGAGAGGGCTGCTTGAGTTCAAGTAAACCGACAGAAAATTGCTTTTTTTCTACCAGGCCCGAACAAGGAATTAGTTAATAATTGAAGGTTTTACAAAGCTGTGCCTTGATGTAACAACAGCATTGGAAGGGGAAGGTTTGGGGTACTTTAATGTTTTCAGGGAGTTGGGGACATCTTCTTCTTGATTGTATCAGAGACTTAAAACACTCCTTCTAAATAAGGGATCTCGGAGTCCTAGTGGACAATCACGTAGATGGCAGCCAGCCGTGTGCTGCAGCTGCCAAAAAAGCCAACACAGTGCTAGGCTGCATTAAGAGAGGGAGAGAATCAAGATCACGTGAAGCGTTAATACCACTTTACAATGCCTTGGTAAGGCCACACTTGGAATACTGCATGCAGTTTTGGTCACCACATGAAAAAAAGATGTTGAGACTCTAGGAAGAGTACAGAGAAGAGCAACAAAGATGATTAGGGGACTGGAGGCTAAAACATATAAGGAATGGTTGCTGGAATTGGGTATGTCTGGTTTAATGAAGAGAAGGATGAGGGGAGACATGATAGCAGTATTCCAGTATCTCAGGGTCTGCCACAAAGAAGAGGGAGTCAAGCGATTCTCCAAAGCACCTGAAGGCAGGACAAGAAGCAACGGATGGAAACTAATCAAGGAGAAGCAACCTAGAACAGTGGTGGTGAACCTATGGCACAGGTGCCAGAGGTGGCACTCAGAGCCCTCTCTGTGGGCACACACGCTGTCTCCCCAGTCCTAGGCCTTCAGCTGGGTTTTATAAAATCTTTTTGCTTTAGGCCTCCGCCATGTGCAAAAAAAAAAAAAAAGGTTCAATCAGTCAATTTCAACTCGCGGGAAAAAAAAGATATTGCAAAGTTGGAACTGATTGAACTTTTTAGTCCCACCGCAGCCACGCCCACCAATGGGCCACACCCACACAATGGGCCATACCCACCTGGCACTCGACAATGCATAAGTGGGTTTTGGTTGCAGTTTGGGCCCTCAGTCTCTAAAAGGTTTGCCATTACTGACCTAGAACTAAGGAGAAATTTTCTGACTGTTAGAATAATTAATCAGTGGAACCACCTGCCTCCAGAAGCTGTGAACGCTTCAACACTGGACATTTTTAAGAAGAGACTGGACCGCCATTTGTCTGAAATGGTATAGGGTTTCCTGCCTGAGCAGAGAGTTGGATTAGATGACCACCAAAGTCCCTTTCAACTTTATTATTATTATTATTATTCATTAGACGTGAACCTCAGTCAACTGAACATTCAAATTGACTAGCACTGATGGTTGACACAGGTTGTTGCCAGCATCCTAGGTATCAAAAAAGCCAACACAGTGCTGGACTGCATTAACAGAGGGAGAGAATCAAGATCACATAAAGTGTTAATACCACTTTACAATGCCTTGGTAAGGCCACACTTGGAATACTGCATGCAGTTTTGGTCATCACGATGTAAAAAAGATGTTGAGACTCTAGAAAGAGTGCGGAGAAGAGCAACAAAGACGACTGAGGGGCTGGAGGCTAAAACATATGAAGAACGGTTACAGGAACTGGGTATGTCTACTTCAGGGGTAGGCAACCTTGGCTCTTTTATGACTCGTAGACTTCAACTCCCAGAATTCTTGAGCCAGCTCCACAAATCATAAAAGAGCCAAAGTTGCCTACCCCTGGTCTAGTTTAATGAAGAGAAGGACAAGGGGGGACATGATAGCTGTGTTCCAATATCTCAGGGGCTGCCACAAAGAAGAGGGAGTCAACCTATTCTCCAAAGCACCTAAAGGCAGGACAAGAAGCAACGGATGGAAACTAACCAAGGAGAGAAGCAACTTAGAACTAAGGAGAAAGTTCCTAACAGCGAGAACAATTAACCAGTGGAATGGCTTGCCTTCAGAAATTTCGGTGCTCCATCACTGGAGGCTTTTAACAAGAGACTTCTCTGGAAAGGTATAGAGCAGGGGTAAGAAACCTTGGCTCTTTTATGACTCATGGACTTCAACTCCCAAAATTCCTGAGCCAGCTATTGAAGTCCATGAGTCATAAAAGAGCCAAGGTTGTCTACCCGTGGTATAGAGTCTCTTACTTGAGCAAAGATTGGACTGGAACAGAGGTCCCCAATCTTTTGTGTACCCGGGACCAGTTCCGTGGAGAAAGTTTTTTCCACGGACCGGAGAGTGTGTGGATTTGTGTGCTGCTTACATCCCACAGATGGCACTTTGCTTGTTTATGCAAACCAGTTCCTCGCATGCCACGGCCCGGTACCACTCTATGGATCAAGGGGGCTGGACTAGAAGACCTCCAAGATCCCTTCCAACTCTGTTATTCTGTTATTCCGTCTGAGAACCAACTAACTGTCTTTTAGTATCTGGCCCTGATGTTTCCAGCAGCTTGAATTAAAAAAAAAAAGGCCACTTAAAAAAAGCCTTCTGAATAAGCAAACCATAGAGATAACTTGGAAATGGGGGTCCTTTCCTTACCTTTGCACAGTCCACTTTTGCACACGTTGCTTTCCGACAAGCCACCTGGCCTCCATCACAGCTACAGAAGCTGCAGTCCGTATCATTCCACAGCTCATTGTGGTATTTGAGGGTGCCGTTGTGCACACAACTGCCCTTGGAAAGGACACACTCTTCACAACATTTCCCAGGGCGGCGCACTTTGCTCTCCTCCTGAGAAGACAAAGAGGGGGGGTCAACTTATGTTCCAAAGCACGAGAAGGCAAGACAAGAAACAAGGGTTGGAAACTGATCAAGGAGAGAAGCAACCTGGAATTAAGGAGAAATTTCCTAACAGTGAGGCCAATCATTCTTGCCCCCAGAAGTTGTGGGTGCTCCATCACTGGAGATTTTAAAGAAGAGACTAGACCAGTGATGGCGAACCTTTTAGAGACCGAGTGCCCCAAAATTGGCCCCACCCCGGCTCCATCCCCTGCCCCGCCCCTGCCCCGCCTGCCCGCAGGGCCACTCACCGCCTCCAGGGCCTGCCGTAGGTTGCCCAGGCAGCCCAGCAGCACCAAGGCGGCCATGACCTCTGCCCGCACCCCGCAGCATCAACTGTGCATGATGGGGCGTGAAGGCAGAGTCTTGTCTACGCTGCCTGTCTGCCATGTCCTTGGCTGCGCTGCTCCGCGTGGGCCACACTTAAGGGTGACTCTCCTCCAGGGGGGCTGTGATGAGGAGGGGGTTGCGGGGGAGGCAAGGCTTGGGCAATGGCACGCGTGCCCACAGAGAGGGCTCCGAGTGCCGCCGCTGGCACCCGTGCCATAGGTTCGCCACCATTGGACTAGACAGTCACTTATCTGAAATGGTATAGGTTCTCCTGCTTGAGCAGGGGGCTGGACTAGAAGATCTCCACGGTCCCTTCTATCCTATCCTATTCTATCCTATCCTATCCTATCCTATCCTATCCTATCCTATCCTATCCTATCCTATCCTATATCCTATCCTATCCAGTTTTGGTCATCACGCTACAAAAACGATATTGAGACTCTGGAAAAAGTGCAGAGCAACTAAGCTGATTAAAGGCCTGGAAACTAAAACATAGGGAGAACAATTGCAGGATTTGGCTATGGCCAATCTAGAAAAAAAAAAGGACTAGGGGGGACATGATAGCAGTCTTCCAGTATTTGAAGGGCTGCCACAAAGAAGAGAGGGTCAACTTATTTTCCAAAGCAGCAGAAAACAAGAAACAATGGATAGAAACCAATCAAGGAGAGAAGCAGCCTGGAATTCAGGAGAAACTTTCTAACAGTGAGGACAATTAACCAGTAGAACAGCTTGCCACCAGAAGTTGTAGGTGGTTCATCACTGGAGGTTTTAAAGAAGAGACTGGACGTCCACTTGTCTTAAATGGTATAGGGCAGGGGTCCCCAACCCTGGTCCGTGGACTAGTACCAGGCTGCGGCACGCCAGCAACCGGTCCACACAAACAAAGCCCCATCCGTGGGATGCAGGCAGCACACAAAACCACGCACCCTCCGTCTGCGGAAAAACCTCTCTCCACGGAACCGGTTCCTGTTGCCCAAAAGGTTGAGGACCTCTGGTATAGGGTCTCATTTTTGAGCAGGGGGTTGGACAAAAGGACCTTGGACAAAAAGACCTCCAAGGTTCCTTCCAGCTCTATTCTGATTAGAAGATTTACGAAATGTGGGAGAAAATTCCCAGAAAATCTCCAACTTTCCAGCTTAGGAATTACCTTCTGACAATTCAGCGTGGGGCAGGTCTTTGTAAAACATCTGGATTCTCCTCGGTCACATACACAAGTGGTGCAGGCATCTTTCTTCCACTCTTCACCGTGCTACGTAACAAAGAAAATTATTTCAACTACGGGCAGGCCTTGACTTACAACCGTTCTTTTAGCGACCATTCAAAGTTACAACGGCTGTAAAAAAAAAAGTGACTTATGACTGTTTTTCACACTTATGTCTGTTGCGGTGTCCCCATAGTCACTTGATCAAAATTTGGGGGTCTGACAACTAGTTCATACTTATGACGGCTGCAGTGTCCCGGGGTCACTTTTTGACCTTCTGACAAGCAAAGTCAATGAGGAAGCTGGATTCACTTAATCGCCTGCAGTGACTCACTTAACGACTGTGTCAAGCAAGGTCGTAAAACGGGGCAAAACTCACTTAACAACTGTCTTGCTTAGTGTCTATGGAGATTCTGTCATCCAGGTCAGGGTTTTCCCAAGGTTGCTTTTTCAAAAGGCAAGTGGGCTTTTTTTGAAGAAGAAGGAGGAGGAGGAGGAGGAGGAAAGAAGAAGGGGGAGGAGGAGAAGAAGAAGAAGAAGGAGGAGGAGGAGGAGGAGGAGGAGAAGAGGAGGAAGAGGAGGAGGAGAAGAGGAGGAGGAGGAGGAGGAGGAGAAGAAGAAAAGAAGAAGAGAAGAAGAGGAAGAAGAAGGAGGAGGAGAAGAGGAGGAGGAGGAAGAGGAGAAGAAGGAGAAGAAGAAGAATAGAAAGAGGAAGAAGAATCCAGAAGAAGAAGAAGAAGGAGGAGGAGGAGGAGGAGGAGGAGGAGGAGAAGAAGAATAGAAAGAGGAAGAAGAAGAAGAAGAAGAAGAGGAGGAGGAGGAGGAGGAGGAGGAGGAGGAGGAGGAGGAAGAGGAAGAAAACGTGACAATGGAAATTCTGGCCTCAACTGTGGTTGTAAGTTGAGGACTACTTGTATTCTGTTTGTTTTGACCGCTAATGCCCACCAGAAATCACAGTTAAAGCACAAGTCAAATGCACACTCAGCCAAGAAGCAAATCTGAGGTCACGGCCCTTTTCTCCACTTCCATGAAGAACAGTCTTATCTACATTAGTTGACGGCCCAGTTCAGTCTTGCCAGCACATTCCTTTCTTCTTCGGATCCCTTTCAACTCATTGGGCTTCCCAAGAAGAAAAAAACAGTAAATAGTTTTTGTTTTTAAGTAAAATGTCAAGTAGAAGCTGAGGGACACAGAAAAATGTCCTTGTGTCATTTTATCCAAAGGTTACCTGGTACGATGTCCCAAATGCAAAGCAGGATTTTTGAGCGCATTCTGGACAACATTTTCCAGCTGGTAGGACTAGACTTTCATCCTAATCATTGGCAGAGGGAAGAGAAAAGAAAAGAAAACAGACGTAAGATGCCCAAAGGCCAAACGTTTTGCATGGAGATTCAAAATCATCCTATATCTCTCTCCCACCGAAGAAAAAGTTTTATTAATAACTCTATATCGCACCACTCTCCGAATGATTCTCAAAACTGCAGAGAATTTGCAAAAAAGAACAGTTAACCCAGTGATGGCGAACCTTTTAGAGACTGAGTGCCCAAACTGCAACCCAAAACCCACTTACGCATCGTCAAGTGCCGGGTGGGCGTGGCCCATTGGGTGGGCGTGGCTGCAGTGGTAACAGCAGACTGGGTGGGACTAAAAAGTCCAATCAATCAATTCCAACTTTGCAAGATCTTTTTTTTTCCCATGAGAAGTTGAAATTGACTGATTGAACCTTTTTTTTTTTTTTTTGCACATGGCGGCAGAGGCCTAAAGCGAAAAGGTTTTATAAAACCCAGCTGAAGGCCTAGGACTGGGGCGACAGCACGCGTGCCCACAGAGAGGGCTCTGAGTGCCGACTCTGGCACCCGTGCCATAGGTTCGCCACCACTGAGTTAACTGAAACTTCCATGGTACGATTGAAACAAAAATAACTAAATCGTAAAATTAACAATTCACTTATAATGTAACAATCCAAAGTAAAAAAGGGTCCTTAGAATCCTCTAGCCAGGGGTAGGCAACCTTGGCTCTTTTATGACTCAAGAATTCTGGGAGTTGAAGTCCATGAGTCATAAAAGAGCCAAGGTTGCCTACCTCTGCGTCTAATCCCAAGGGTCTTCAAACTTGGTCCTTTGATGACTTGTGGACTTCAACTCCCAGAATTCCTCAGCCAGCGTGCCTGGCTGAGGAATTCTGGGAGTTGAAGTCCACAAGTCAATAAAAGGGCCAAGTATGAAGACCCCTTCTCTACCGAGTTCAACATTCTATGCAGCAGATAGTGCTTGATTTACAACTTTTCATTTAGTAACCTTTCCAAGTTACAACGGCACTGAAAAAAAAATGACTTATAGCTGTTTTTCAAGTTTATGACTGCTGCAGCATCCCTGTGGTCACATGATCAAAATTCAGATGCTTGGCAACTGGTTCATATTTATGACGGTTGCAGTGTCCCGGGATCATGTGATCCCCTTTTGCAATCTTCTGACAAGCGAAGTCAATGGGGAAGCCAGATTCATTTAACAACAACTGCTATGATTCACTTAATAACTGTGACAAGAGAGATCGTAAAATGGGGCAAAACTCACTTAACAACTGTCTCGCTTAGGAGCAGAAATTTGGGGCTCAGTTTTGGTATAAGTCGAGGACTATGTTAGTGAGGAAGAAGAATGAAAACACATTCAAAGAAATCTGCAAAAATTCACCCTCTACAACAGGAGTCGGCAACCTTAGCTCTTTTATGACTTGTGGACTTCAACTCCCAGAATTCCTGAGCCAGCATGGCTCAACGTGGAAACTCTCCCTGTCCCCTCAGCATGGCTGGCTCAGGAATTCTGGGAGTTGAAGTCCACGAGTCATAAAAGAGCCAAGGTTGCCTACCCCTGCTCTACAACTTCCAGTCTTTGCAGATAATCTGGCGCTGCAAAAAAAGGGAGACTGAGAAGCATGTTGGGCATACCGGCAAAGCTCATACTTAAAAAAGGAAAAACTCCAACTAAGCCAGTGGTGGCGAACCTATGGGACGCGTGCCAAAGGCGGCACTCAGAGCCCTTTTTGTGGGCACACGCGCCATGCCCCGGAGATGGCAACCATCCCTCTTCAACCAGCTGCCTGCTAACTCGCCAAGGTCCCATGTGGCCGGATGCATCTCAGCATCCATGCACTCGCTGACTCTGTGTTCGGGGGCCGATGGTGTCAGGCAGCAGCCGCCCCGGCCCCTGCCTCACCTTGCCCTGTTACAATGGCACCCTGCCCTGCCTTGCCTTGTCTTGCCTCACCCCACAGGAAGCTTCCTGCCCACCGCCCCACCTGCCAGAGACCCCCTGGATCTCCCCCAACCCTTCCTGGCCCCCACAGATGTCCCTCCCCACAAGCAACATTGAGGTGGCCACACCCACCTTGGCCACACACCCAATTGCCATGATCACCACAGCCACAACCACCCAGTGGGCCACGCCCACCTGGCACCTGGCGATTAATAAGTGGGTTGTGGATTGCAGTTTGGGCACTCGGTCTCTAAAAGGTTCGCCATCACTGTACTAAGCAATCTGCTTATTTGATATCCTTCGCACCTTAAGATTTAACCCAGCTAGAGATTCTATCAAAGAACACAGGAAGAGAAATTCCTGAAGGATTGCTAGGAGGTTTTTGTCCTCTCCCCAAGACACATCTTATATCAGAGGCAGTGAATCAGAAAAGAAGAGGGATGTCATATTTTGCAGAACCTAACAATTCGCTCTCTTTTTTTGACACAGTAGGAGGACGTTTTGTTTGACACAGTACTTAGTGTACGATGGCCTCAAACCAAAAAGATTCTGGAAGTTCCTTTTCCCACTAAGAAATTCTATTGAAAGGTATATAATCTTTTAGGAGCTGCAGCAAGCACAGATACACAGAGTGATGCTGGATGTAAACGTATGACTAGACTGGTCTAAGTTTAATCCTGTGGTGGAATGTAGTCTGGATTCCCAAGAGGGAGGGGCTGAATTCCAGAGGAATATGAGAGCAAAGTTCAGATAGTTTGGATGGGAGGAAGAGAGTCAGAACAGTTTCTTCCTAGAAGTTCTGTCTATTGTTGTTAGTTGTGAAGTCATGTCCGACCCATCGCGACCCCATGGACAACGTTCCTCCAGGTCTTCCTGTCCTCTATCATCTTCTGTAGTCCATTTAAGCTCACGCCTACTGCTTCAGTGACTCCATCCAGCCACCTCATTCTCTGTCGTTCCCTTTGCCTTGATTCATGGATCTTACATTCCAGGTTCCTATGGAGAATAGATCTTTACAGCATCAGACTTTCCTTTCACCACCAGATGCATCCACAGCTGAGCGTCCTTTCGGCTTTGGTCCAGTTGCTTCATTCTTTCTGGCACTACTAGTACTAGCCCTCTGCTCTTCCCCAGTAGCATGTTGGACACCTTCCAACCTGAGGGGCTCATCTTCCAGCGTCATATCTTTTTGCCTTTTGGTACTGTCCATGAGGTTTTCATGGCAAAGATACTGGAGTGGTTTGCCATTTCCTTCTCCAGTGGATCACATTTTGTCAGAACTGTCTGCTATGACCTGTCCATCTTGGGTGGCCCTACATGACATAGCTCATAACTTCATTGAGTTACAGAAGCCCCTTCGCTACGTCAAGGCAGTAATCCATGAAGGGGAGTTCTGTCAATACATGAGGAATAATAAACTGCTTAGAAGTAGCTCTACAAACTGCTTAGAAGTAACTCCATGTGTCTGTCTTGGTTTTGGGGGGCCTGACAAAGCCTTTGAATAAAATGTATTAGCTACTCTACTTCTCGCTGTCTTGTTTGCTCTATCTTAGGACAAAGCTTACGGTAGAGCAGGGGTGGAAAACCCAGAGCCAATGAGTTGCATGTAACCCCCCCCAACCCTACAAAGGTTTCATAACTTCTGGATGTCCCAATATTGCATTACTCAAATATAGCAGTATAGTATATTAAATTTCCCATAGGGTTATGACACCTTTTAAAGTAAAAAAAAAAAAAAAGCACAACCACATTCCAATTCATCTCATTTTGTAAAAGTGTCCTGATGTCATGTGACGTTGTATTGGTGAGGATGCTGCTGCAGGTACAAAAATAAGAAAACAGAGAAGGAATTTAGAAGAGAAACTCCATTTTAAGATGAAGTCATCTTCCTTTGGAACTTCATGTTGAAAATCTAAAACACATGTAGGAGATCACCAGGCTGAGCTCGAGGGAGGAGTCAAATGGGTCATAAGTCACGAGTCTCTGCATGCCCACAACAGATCTAAGTCCAGCCCACCTTGAATGCCTTCTTAATTAACGCTCATTTCCCTTGACCGTTAATAGCTCAGATTTTTGTAGAGAACTAGCTTGCTATAAAAATCTTTATACTCATTTCCTGATTCCTCCAGCGTTTGACAGCAATTGAATCCACAGAAAGGAGATGGGGGGGCTGAGTTGATGGTTTATTTATTTATTTATTTACAGTATTTATATGCCGCCCAATCCCAAAGGACTCAGGGCGGCGTACAAAGTTAAAAACAATAATAAAACAGTAAAATAAAGCAGTCATACCACAGTCATACCGCGAGTCCGATCATATCCCAGCCCCCCCGGGGACATCAGCCCCAGGCCTGCCAGAACAGGAGGGTTTTGAAAGATGGTTGTGAAAGCAATGCTCCCCTTTTAAAATGTATTTATTTATTTAATTATTTTCATCTTTCTAACCCTCCCACTTGCTCCAAGAGGGACTTTACTTGCAATGCATAGATGACCCAAGTCAAAAAAAGGGTGTGATTTGATTAGGGAACTATGCTGAATCTATGCTCTTAAGTCCCTGGATATTAACACCATCTCTTGGGAACTTCTGGCGTATGATCGACCGACATGGTGCACCTTGGTGTACCAGGGTTGCCAGACATATGAACACAAAAGGACAATCTTGGCACAAGAAAAGTGAACACTCCGCAAAGCCAGAGCTGCAAATGCTGAAGTAACAGTGTCTACATTTCTTTGTTCAGTATGTGGCAGAATATTCTGTGCTAACATTGGTCTTATTAGCCACCTATGGACACATCGTTGATGGCCCATAACCCACAAGATGTCAAGGTCTTCATCGAAATCGATGGACGAACAACAACATGCTGAATCATAATGTTGATTTTTTTTTTAACATTCCCTGTAGATACTCCTGCTCCAAAATTAGCCAGGAGAGAACTGTGTTTCTGGAATTGTTGCAGTAATACAGGACTAAGGTAATCTGATTTTTAGAATCATTGTGTTGCTGAAAATACAATCAGAGTAATGCTTCATTAAAATAATTTTTTGCTAATGACCTAAAGGT